GATGATTTTATTTAATTTAAAACTTATTTTGGAATCATAACAGCATTCCATAACAAGCTGCATAAACATGTCACTGCATGAGACTCATCTGACACAGATATAAAGTGAACAAGAGTTATTTAACAACAAAATACAATACAAATAAATAAAGGTTCCAAAAGGGTTTTTTTTTTCCGTAGTGATGCAGTAGTAGAAGAATCATTTTGGGTTCTCCAAAGAACTGTTCTGCCATTTTTTCCTCCCCTTTAATAACCTTCTCCGCAATGGAAAGGTTCCAATGATATTCAAAGGTTTTTCATGGATACCAATAAAGAACTTTCATTATTAAAATCCACCTGTGGTGAAAATCAAGCTTTTTAAGTTGTTTATGCGTCTATGTGGTGTTTTAAATATGCTTTAAGATAAACCATGTGTAAATTCATAAGTCGACAGCATTGCTGAGTATTTTCTGCTTAAAGGTGCCCTCTGGCATTTAAAATCAAATCATACACCATATTCCATACCAGATGGGGGCAGTATACCTCCAGAAATACCTCCATGGCCGCGTGCACTCTCATGTCTTCAAACAACACAGGCGAGCGCTGTGTTGCTCTGTCTCCCTCGTGCATATTAATCAAATCAATTGACACGATAGTAAAAGGTTGGAAGGCCGCAGATTCACGTGGAGCATTTGCAGATTTTCAGAGATTAGAGACTGAATGAACAACATCTCAATACTAAATTATAAAGGCGGTGCATTTCGACGATATGGGAAAATTAAAGCCCAAGCTATTATTTCTATTTTTATGGTATTCGTTTTGTTCATATTGCATTTTTATCATTAGTTTTAATTAATTTGACAGACAGCATTCCCTGATGTGGACCAAGCTAGCGTCTTTCAGAGCTGCCAACTCTCACAACACTTTTCACACACTCTCACGCCACACATCAATTTTGTCATGCACAGAAAAGGACACGGAGACCGATGTCGGCTCTCAGATTCTGTTAATTTTATTACGCAATTCAAACAATAAATACCGTTTTGGCGCTTTACACGATAGATCCCTTACGCACGTGAACCGATCATCTCTACTAGCTCATGGTAAAAGAACACGAACACTGTTGAAAGATACAGTATGTTACAACTTACCAAAATGTATTCCTCATGCATAATATCGACCAATCATTTTTTTTTTTTTAACTCATCCCTGAACTGAAATGTAGTAGTGGGCTGTATTTTCCACACGACTGACATCAGGTTCAAGTACACACAAGCCGCGCGACTTACTCGTCTATTGCAGTTTGGCTGGTGGTAATGTTGTCTGCCCGCATACCGCCTCCCATGGATGAAACTGGTATTACGACACCTGCCGGGCCGGGGCTAGTAATTTAGCATGCTAATTCAGGTTAATATCTCGGCAGCACTATAACTTGTCATTTTTTTAATGACATCATCAACCTTATTTCTTCTCATTCTTTTGATGCGTGTAGCTCATTTTTGGGATATTTTAACCTCAATTTTTACAGATGGCTCCTTTAAAACTGCAGTGAACCAGACAGTCTCAAAAACACGGTTTGAAATCGCTGGTGTTTCTGACGTCATAAACGACCTTGTAACCAATCAGATCAACGTGTGATCGTCACAGTGGATCTCTGAGCTGAGTGAGTGAGTGGAGGCGGGGCTCATTTGCATATTCACAGAACTACGTGTTGAGTTTTATTCAAGATATTTTAGGGCATGAAGAATTTTTTGTCAAGGAAAAAAAGTTTAAATATGTAATTTTGGTGATTAAATGAGTTTGGATACAAATGTTGACAACCGGGAGACTTATAACAGTGTACTGGACAGTTGTCTCAAAGGGCAGTTCTGGTTGTCACTCACATAACTAAACAAATGTATAAACAGAACAGTAGCTGTCCAAACAGGACTGACACTGTAGTCTTGCTGCATTTTCTCCAGGTTCAACTGCAGTGGAAATGCAGAACTACTGCAAGGATCTGGCATGTCGTGGGGCATTTGGGGTGACTGGAGTGAGACGTGTGGAGGAAAAGGAATCTGTGGCATCGAGACGATGGTGGAGCAACCGCAGGGAGTCGGAGATGACACAGCCCTCAATGACGTGCGCATGTTTTGCTGTGATTGAACTGAAGGGGTGTTTCAGAAAAAATTATTTGGTGGAATTTTTAAATAAATCATCAGTAAATCGTATCTTCTAGTAGGGCTTAACTGGGTAGAATGAATTGAGAAGATTTGTTTTATTGTAATTATGATTTTTTTTCCACTTCACATTTAATGGACGACACTGAGAACAGCAGAAAAATCCAATATTAAAAGATATTAAACATACTGAATAATTTCCTTACGTTTCCTCACGGTTGTGACTACTAGTCATCAGTCTAGAAGACAGCCTACATTTGAATTTCTATGAAGTTACTACATGTGATTCTGTGAAAGGACATTAAAAGTTTGAATCAAGTAGGCTACTGTATGCTGAGTGTTTCTTCATAAGTCAGTTCTTAAAGTAATGTTCTGGGTTCTATGAAAGTAATGTTCTGGGTTATTTGGTGTTCCCATTTCCACCACAAAAGCAAAACTATGCATTGGTAAATCTTAATTAAGTCATACTAAGTCATAAATCACAACAAAAAGACGGAATTGTGACACAAATTAGAAATTATGGCGTATTATTCAGAACTATAGATTAAGTCAATTTTTACTAGTCTAATGTCGAAATGATTAAAACAAAAAGTAGAAATTATGACAAGTCAATTAGGAGATCAAATAACGAGACATTTCTGTCATAATTAGCTACCTTTTAAGTAATAATTTTGTCTTTTTGTTTTATAATTATGCTGTAGTTTTACAGTCTATGGTAGTATGTCATAATTACCATTTACCAAAGACTACTTGTCTTATGTGGCAGAAATAGTAGACTTCCATAGGTTTTAGTTGAAAATTACTAAAAAAAAAAACTAAAAAAAACCCCACAAAAAACATTAAAACCAGTAACGCTAATTGTTTTACTCACCATGTTGCTCTTGTATAAAACCATGGATGACCGTTGTTTTTTCCTGAACACAAAATAAAACTTATAAAGATGTCCCTCGCGCTTATGGAATTGAACACTCTGTAAAACGTTTTATAGAAAATATGTAAAAGTCGTATTTAGACCATGATTTAGACAATAGTTTGTTTCCATGAGGTGATTATCTCTAGGTTGTAACTTGTCGGTTGACAGTCATGTCAGTCAGAAATGAGAGTTAACAGATTTGAGCGCGAATTTGTACGCAAATGGGGAGGGGGTTCTAGGCTACTACAATGAGCTCCCTCACTTCCGGTTCTGGCGCTGGGGTTCTGAAACTGGTGGTGCTGCGGGTCTGCAGCTGGATATATCTCGTTTCAGAACCCCAACGCCAGAACCCCAGCGCCAGAACCGGAAGTAAGGGGCGGAGTTACGTTCTAACCAACACCAGAGCCAGGAACGTAAGTGAGGGGCGGAGCTTAGGTTTGAAACCTAACGCCACCTAACGTAATTTGAAGGGTATTTTATAAATGAAACAGCTTTTATTGAACAAGAAACGTCCTTCTCTCTAGGCTACAATATATAAGCATTTTAAAACATTGATTTTGTGTAATATAATTGTATATAGTTTCAGTTATTCGTTTCATTGTATTATGAGTACTTCCTGATCATGATGGTGAAAAAATAATACTCGAAACTTATGGGCATTTTAATGTATAACAGTTTAATAATTTTAGCTAAGCAGTTTATACATAGGCCTACGTGTAGATTTATGAAGGTAAGACCTTTGTTTGTTTGTTTTTTGTTTTTTATGAAGGAGTTAACTTTCTATAATAAAGCTTTGAAAGATATAAAACAAGACAAGCATTGGAGGTTTTCAAAATTATTCACAATTTGATAACTCATTATACCTCTGTGATATTTTATGCTTTATTTATTTATTTATTGTGTTTACAAAAATCTTAATTGTTTTGATATTGAAGATATGTATTTGTAAGATGATTTTGATTGTTTAATTAAAAAAAAACGCATGGGTATTTTTTATAAAATATACTTTATTTCACAAGAACATGTGCACCATGCATTTTTTCGTGTAAAATAATAATGTCAACATCTAAAAAAGAGAGAAAATTCGGCATTGTTTTGTTAAAAATCTATACAAAATGACCAATTTAACCCAAGCTAGGCCTGTTTTATCACAACAATCTTGTATAAATTTAACTTACAATGTATCAAATGAGGAACTCACTCTCAGGCCCGTTTTGTCCTTACATTCTTGCTAAAATATTTATAATGCAATAATAATAATTGCCCCTCCCTCACTTCCGGTTCTGGCACTGGGGTTCTGAAACTGGGGTTCTGAAACTGGTGGTGCTGCGGGTCTGCAGATGGAGATATCTCGTTCTAAAACTTTTGCACACTCGTTTAGTTTAATGATGTACTTGCGCCTCCTGCAGGATCTTTTGGCTCGACAGTCAAAATGAGGTCTACTCTCAGCAAATCTCATGGACTGTAAAAGATAAATCTAAAAACCTAGAAGAATACGCGGTTATAATTGTTTGAACTTTTTGATGTTTGCATTTGCAGGCCTACCAAATATTTTTAAATGATTAATGTAAACATATTATGTATTTAATTATAAATTATTCATATGAATGTGATTCTGTCATCATTTGATCTTATATTTTGTATTTATTTATCTTATAAATGATTACCTGTGACGCAAATTTGTTTCAGATGTAACTTGGATGTTTCATTAACTAAATAACAGTTTTTCTGTGTGAAATTGAATGTATAAACTCTGCAAAGATATTTATGACAATATGTATGAATAATATGGATTCTGATGTTTACAGTATTATAATACGCTGTTAAATATGTGTTAAATGTGTAGACTAGTAGAGACACAATCATTTCGTGGTGTAAAGTGAAGTCTTCCTGTACCAATTAGTCGGCGGAGGCCGTGACCATGACGTCACCACGTGACGCAATCACGCACGAGCGTGCTCCTGTCAGCTGATCAGCGAGCCGCTGCGGAATCAAGTCGCGTCGCTGCGATATTTTCATAAAATAAACGACATAAAGAACATGAGACGATAAAGTCCTACTCCGGTGAGTAAAACACACACCGACATTCAATCTGTCACTCAACCGGACACTGATAGTGACGCGCGGTCGTATAATAATGATGATAAACACACTGATGAACGGGCCAGAGGTCAATATAAACACGACATGTCTACACAAACATACACACTGACATCATTTACAGTATATTCATATGCACAATGAACACACAATGAAGAGTACATAATCCATATGGATGTCCACAAACACTACACATTTATACCACACACACATATAGCTAGCTAAACCTATTCGTGTATTTTATACTAATACATCTTCAATCAAACTGTACACAGTATACATGAACAGCAAAATTTACAGTCAGGTGATTTTCAATTCAAATAAATTAATTATAATATAACGTTACGCAGCTGATGGTCAGTGTGCTGACAGATATGAAAATTAGGTTTCATTTTAAACTCTTTTATCAAATTACTTTACTTGTCATTTCAGTGCCTCTAATTAGAATAGCAATATAACCAACAGTAATGATTGTTTGGAAACATGTTTCCTTATCGGCCATTGATTGGTCATTCACACACACATTTATGTTTACAAACTTTTTTGTACATACATAGCAGCCCATGATATTAATGTCACCTATCAGACATTTTTTTTTCTGGGACATGGTCATATTATATGTTTTATAATGGATTTGCACTTAGCAGCAGTTTGTTTTGTTTATTATTATGGTAATCACCTTATAAGGGTTTTTTTTGTGTATGACAGGTCATGTGTTAAAAAGCATTACCTTATGCTAGCATGCATGGCATGTGAAATTTTACTCAAATTTCACTAAAAGTGTTTATTAGACAGAATAAAGAAGAGAGACACTGCTGCTAAATCCATATAACCTTAAAATCAGCTGATGTTTGTCTGATATCTCAGTACATTAGTCTAGTGATGTTCTGTTGTGTTGTTGACTTTCAGAAAGATCAGAAAGCTTGTGAATTCATTGGTTGTGTTGTGCCATTCATTGATTACTTTGAGAGGGTTTGGTTTGATTCGTCTGCTGTTGTGAGTGTGTGTGTCAGACAGACAGAGAGCGACGGCAGCGTCAGGAAAACACATTATTCTTTCTAAATCGGCAGAGGAATCATTTCAGGATGAAGTTGGTTCATTTAGTGAAAATTAAACACGTGTTTCGCCGGTTCAGGTTTAATTTGAGGAGACGCAAGCATGTCAGGTAAAGCGAGTCAGTTTTATATATGCGTGTGTGTGTTTTAATTTATTAATTTTTAGAACATTTTTAATGATCTGCATTATATATATTGCAATATTGGACAGAAGTCAAGAAGTAAATCTGTGCTCATTGAACAATGCTATAATTTAACTTTGAAATGTTTTATAAAGCAGTTTCTTGTCTTCTAAATATCGCTTAAACAAATGATGTTGGATTACGGTTATGAATGTACAGTATATATGAGTAAATCTGGTTTCATTTCCATGGTGAAAGCAGAAACTAGCAACCATGGTGAATGGTAAAAGCTTGTTTTGTGGTGTTTTATTGGACTAGCACTTAGTTAAGTGTTCAATAGTACTGCATAACGTTACATAACAAGCACACTGTGTCTGGATTCTGCTTCGATTTTATTCTGCTGTGATTTTAATTACCAGTTCAATCTACAATTGTGCTCCAATTTAATATCACATAGAGGTCAGATGTTATTGTCTGTTGAACCCTTCCTCATTCATGTGAACTTGGCAACTGTTTAAGTGATGATGATGGATATTGATTTTAATGTCAGTTTGAGGTTAATCTGTGATGTTTGTCAATTATGACTGAATCCCTGTGAAACTCTAATGATTTGTTCGTTTGCTCTAGTTCGAAACATGCTCTCTGTCCTTATATGTCATTTACTCTATTGTATTTCTTTACTGACGTTATGTTCATGCTGTGGAGGAATAGTATAGTATGAATAGTATGCTAGCGTGCTTCTCCAGTCCAAACATTTCCATTCAGTATCATAAATAAGTTATTGTATCATAATATGAGGAACCCACTAGAAATAAAACATTTTTACATTGGTTTAAAAAAATAATTTTTTTTACATGCTCAAATTCTGTGTACTACAAGATTTTTCTGAAAGAGTTCACCAAGGCTGCATTTACTTGTATACACGTATAAACCATGTATAAAACAATAATAAATCACATGATCCTTCAGAAATCATTCTAATATGATGATTTGATGCTCAAGAAACATTTATGATTATCATCAGTGTTGAGAACAGTTGAGCTGCTTCAGATTTATGTGGAAAACGTGATACATTTAATTTTTCAGGATTCTTTAATAACCTCCCAAAAAACCTAAAATATAATTATTTTAAGAATAAAGCTTCATAAATAAAAATTGCATGCAATAATTTAACAATATTTTCTTTACAACATTTTACAAAGATAGCTTTCAGTTTGATATTTGACAGAAAATCTACTATTTCTTTTTAAATATAAATAAAACTGTTGCCTGCTATTATTTATTGAAAAGTAATTTTTGTAAGAATTCATTAACCAAAGCCTATTCTTGGTTATCCTGCTTTAAATTATAACTTTTATTAATTGGAAGATTTTATGTAATTGATATGATCTTTTTAAAATGTTGTAATTGTAAAAAAAAAAAAAAATGTTGTTAAATGATGTTTTTTTTTGTTAAAGTAATTATATTGTAGTATGTATTATAAAACAATTTGATTTTAAATATTAAAAATTATTTTGATAATTTTAATTTTTACTCCTCTTAGTTTGACCAGGTCTTTTTTTATTTTTACCTGGGCTTTGATCTCTAGTAGGTCCTCTTTTTTTGTGTTTTTTTATATTAAAAAGTTTGTCGAGACAAACTTTAAGTTGGCTTGTAAAAGTTTGGACCAGAAAGTTTGAAGAGGTTTAAAGTGGTTTGAAGTTTAAAGTAGTTTAAAGTTTTTAATAGTTTAAAGTTTGAAAAAAAGAAAGATTAGTTAGAAATAAATAAATAAAGAAAGAATGATTAGTTAGAAACAGAAAGTATGAAAGAAAAAAAGAAAGAAGATGTATTGCCTGTGTCTGATCACTGTTTTCTTTGCAGCATCACAGAGAACATGTCAGGAAACAGTCTGGTATTACCCATAGTTCTGTGGGGCCGCAATGCTCCCACCCACTGTATCTCCAGCCTGCTGGTGATGGACGATCTGGCCACCATCATCACCGGCTGCCATGACGGACAGATCTGCATCTGGGACATGACCTCAGAGCTGGAGGTGAGAGGTCACCGCGAGGTCACTCATACATGTCTTTTTTTTTTTTTTCATTGATGAGATGGTTCAAACAGTCATTGATTACTCGCCCTTGTGTCTTTTTAAACCTGGGCCGGTTTCACAAAGCTATTTTAGACCGGTCTTTAGTGTTAGACAAGTCTATAATTTGCTCTTAGACTAGTCCAATGCAAGTTAGACTGTTTCACAAAAATTAAGACTGACTTAATTTAGACCAATAAAATTAGACACCTTTCCCCAGACTAAGGCTACGTCCACATGAATCTGGATACATTTTAAAACGGGGTTTCCGTTTAAAAACGCTCTCCGTCCACACTAGCGTTTTCAGGTGTTTTCCGACGTTTCAGTGTGGATGAGAAGCTTCTAAATTCACTTTACTGCGCAATGCGTGAAACTTCACAAAAGCTCACTGAGATGATACAAATGGGAAAATAAATAATAATGTCATCGCACAATAACAGGATAATTTTATTTAGCAAAATATCTCACCATCACGGATGCGTCCAGGTCGCATTCAGTTTGGTCTAAAACGCAACTGCTCTCCTGTTTTGCCGCAGGACAGCAAATGTGAGTAAACTACATTATGTGTCATCTTTGCAGTACTGTGCTATGAAGAATAGCACATATTAAGTAACATATTTTAGCAATAGTGTAAAAATGAATAACACATAACAGGCACAATACCGATAAACACGAATATCTATTGGTACTACATTGATCACATGACTAAACTTACGTCATCGTTTTGAAATACCTCCGGTTTCACGGTCCACACTACAACGCGAAAACGGCGTTTTCAAATTTATCCACTTTGGAGAGCGTTTTCCAAACGATACGTTTTTCCAAACAATACTTAAAACGGCGTCTCAGTGTGGACGGAAGGCCAAAACGGAGAGAAAAATATATTAGTGTGGACATGGCCTAACTTAGGTCTCAGACTCTGTTACCGTGGCAACCAGCCGTAACAGCCGTAAGATCTATTTTTATTCTGTTCTATCCACCTTATTCTGCTCTAAACAATGCTCGCTGCCATGACGACGACTCCGGTTGCCAACTTCCGGTTTGATGCTTTTGTCTATGCTTGCGATGTCTGGTCTATGCTTTTTTACTTCTTTTTTGCCCTGTGTTTTAGATTGTCTCATCCCCACATCGCTAAACTAAATCGAAAAAACATTCATCAAATGTGATCTGATCACGTTATTTTTATTAAATCACAGATAAAAACAAAATGAACGTTTTCCTTTTCTTCGTAAATTCCAAAGGATAGCTGATGCATGACTGCACGATCTCCCTAACCCAGCAATGAACATCCGACAAATTCTATCACCCCGACTGCTGCAGAATAACAGTACTATAAGGTTAGGCTGGTTAGTCCTTTGACTCTGTCTACTTCTGCTTTCAGAGATGCATAGTCTATATATTTCTCAGGCTTGTGAGGTTAGGCATAAGTTACGGAGAGTTTCATTCATGAGACCAAAGTCCAGTTTGCGCGCTGTCGCCTCCGTCATATATCATCTATTGTTTACTATATACTTCTTATTTATTAAAACCAGTCAATTGGTTGAAGAATCATTGATTGAAATTAAGATACAATTAATAAAAAACGAAATTCACTTTAAAGAAAGGTTTCTTTGTGGTTTCTCTCTAAGATCTCTGTAAAAGTTTTAAAGTCACTTTCAGAGCGGTTATATCCGTGAATATAAAACGCATGTGTAGACTCATATTTTTCTAATGTCTGGACCACTGATCTATATAATATATCATTTTATAGATGAGTGGTCTGGACTAGAGTGCTGACATTCTATGTAAACATATACTTCAACAGGAAGTAGAAAACCGTTTAGTCAGTTGAACCCGCTATGAATCATGGGAAATAGAACCGGCGCAGAAAAAGGTGGATAGAATAAAGAAAGTCATTCTGGTTTCGAACGTCATGAGGGTTAATAAACGCTAGAGCCGCACGATTAAAAGTTAAAAGATCGTGATCTCAATTCAAACACCCACAAGATCTTATTCCTAAATTACAACAATTCTCCTCTGTCTATTTATTACAGATATGAAACAGCACATAGTTTCAATATTTCTGTCTAACAATCATTCTTATGATCACAGAAGTGCTGGGATAAAAGATTATAATTCAGATATAATAGTTTTAGTTATAGTTATAAGTTATTTTATTTTCATTACTATATAATTTAATAGATTATAAGATTATAGTTCAGCTCTACTAAACGCTGAGTGTCTACAGTAGAGATCGAAATCGAGTGAATCACCATTTATGCTTAAAATTAAGATTGTATCGATTACATCGTTACACCAGTAGGTGGAGACAAGTGACTGTTAATCGTGTGTCACTGAATCATTCACTCAAGAGATTCATTCAAAAACACAGAGTCATTCAATCGTCATTAAAACATATTTTTTTAAACAAAAAAAGTAAAACGGATTAAATATTTTTGAAATAGACAGCATCTATTAACATTTTTGTCCGAACCTTGAGTAAAGGACATTTTGTTTAGTTTAGTTGTCTATTCAGAAAATATAAGAACCGTGCAGCTCTACTAAACGCTGAGTGTTATCTGATGAGTTTGTGTGTGTTTAGATCAATCCCCGCGCTCTGCTGTTTGGACACACAGCCTCCGTCACTTGTCTGTCCAAGGCCAGCGCTGGAAGCGACAAACAATACCTCGTCAGCGCCTCTGAGAACGGGTGAGAGTGTGTATGTGTGTGTGTGTGTGTGTTGAGAGAGAGAGAGAGAGAGAGAGTGTGTATGCGAGAGAGAGAGTGTGTGTGTGTGTGTGTGTGTGTGAGAGAGAGAGAGTGTATGTGTTTGTCATGGGCTCTTTAAGAACTGTAAGGGTGTGTTCACTCTTCGCAGGTTATATGTCATAAAAGCATTTTTTTTTGTATGTTTAGGTTCTTAAAAATGACAGTGTGAACGCTAAGCGTACCAGTATAATATTTCTTTATAAACGAAACAAGAGAACTGAACTATAAGTGTGAACACATTCTAGGATAACGTGTTAGTCCATGAGATGTGTTTTTCTGCACGTTAATTATTAGATGTGTATCATTTGTCACAGGGAAATGTGTTTATGGGATGTCAGTGATGGGCGCTGCATTGAGTTCACCAAACTGGCCTGTGCTCACACTGGTATACAGGTAACACACACACACACACACACTCACTCTCTCACAAACACACTTAATATTATTAAAAACAAATATTATTAATAATGATTAAAAAGGTTATTAAAAACATTGTATTGTTTCAACCTTTGATCACATAAATAAATAACATTTTACAATATATTCACATAGAAAACAGCTGTTTTAAATTAAATACATTTTTGATTAAAGGAGTAGTTCACTTTTGAAAAAACTTTTGCTGATCATTTACTCACCGCCATGTCATCCAAGATGTCCATGTCTTTCTTTCTTCAGTCGAAAAGAAATGAAGGTTTTTGATGAAAACATTCCAGGATTTTCTCCATATAATGGACTTCATTGGGAACCAAACGGTTCAAGGTCCAAAAGAAACTTTAAGTACAAACTGCAAACTGTTCAAAGGGCTTTAAACGATTCCAGACGATGAATAAGGGTCTTATCAAGCGAAACGATCGCTCGTTTTATAAATAAATAACAAAGTTTAAGTTTTATAAGCTCAAACGCTCGCCTTGCTCTGTTCTGTAATGCACTCCTGTTCGAACTCGTTCATCAAAATGAACAAATCTTTTTCTGAGTCATTTTGTTCATTCGGTGTTTCTTTCACCGAATGAACAAAATGACTCAGAAAAAGATTTGTTCATTTTGTTGAACGAGTTCGAACAGAAGAGTCACGAACGTGCACCACAGAACAGAGCAAGGCGAGCGTTTGATCTTATAAAACTTAAACTTTGTTATTTTTAAAAAAAAATTTAGCGATCGTTTCGCTTGATAAGACCCTTATTTATCATCTGGAATCATTTAAAGCCCTTTGAACAAGTTTGCAGTTTGTACTGAAAGTTTCTTTTGGATCTTGAACCGTTTGGTTCCCACTGAAGTGCATTATATGGAGAAAAATCCTGGAACGTTTTCATTAAAAACCTTAATTTCTTTTTGACTGAAGAAAGAATGACATGGACATCTTGGATGACATGGGGGTGAGTAAATTATCAGCAAAAGTTTTTTTAAAAGTGAACTACTCCTTTAAATAAATGCAGCTTTGGTGAGCAGAAGAGACTTCTTTCAAAAACATTAAAAACTTTTGATCGATAAGTGCATTTAAAATAATACAGACTAACGCAAAAATTAAAACATTTAGTTATGAATCATTCTTCATGAAACTCTTTCTCTCCGTTCTGCAGTTTTATCAGTTCACCATCGGCACACAGAGGGAGGGACGACTCCTGTGCCACGGACATTACCCAGAAATCCTGGTGGTGGACGCCACCAGTCTAGAGGTCCTTTACTCGCTCGTGTCCAAGATTTCTCCCGACTGGATCAGTTCCATGAGCATCATCCGCTCGCACCGCACGCAAGGTACCGGCTGCCCTTCCCATGATGCATTGCAGGGTCATGGGAGCAAAAATCATCCCTCATTCAACTTATTATCAATGAAATATATGTCTGTGACATACAGTTGATTATAGCAAACAATATTTTTGTTTGTTTTGTAAAAGGAGAAGCATCTACAGGTAATGTGCTTTGAATGGATATTAAACGTTTTTGCAATTTAATCAAGTTGACATTAAAGAAAATCCTGATCTCTCTGAGAGAGAGAGAGAGAGAGAGAGAGAGAGAGAGAGAGACAGAGAGAGTGAGTGAGTGAGTGAGTGTGACAGAGAGGGACTGAGAGACTGTGTTTGTTTGTGAGTGTGAGAGAGAAAGAGTGTGTGTAAGATTGTATGTGTGTGTGTGTGGGAGAGAGTGTACAGGTTTGTCTGTAGATGTGAGGGCCAAATTTCTTCACTTATATTGTCAAATATTATGGCAACTGGCTAGTGAGGACATTTGACTCGTTCTTACTAGTTAAAAAGCCTCATAAATCGGCCCAAACATAATTTTGTTTAAATTAGTGTTTTGCACTTGTTTCTGTGATGGAGGGGTTGGGCTGAAATCAATGAAAGTCTATGGAATGCCCCCACTAATATAGTGAAACAAATGTGTGTGTGTGTTTCAGAGGACACAGTGGTGGCCGTGTCTGTCACTGGTATCCTCAAGGTGTGGATCATCACCGCTGACGTCAGCAGAATGCAGGTGAACAGTTCAAGTCAATAAACACACCAATCCTGAGCTTTACCAGACAGTAACACAGGGAGTAGGGCTGGGGAATTTTTATTAATTTTTTATTAATGTTTTTTTATTTATTTTTTATTTTTTTAAATGTGGTCAATTCAAAATCGATTCTCAAAGGCCACGGATCGATTTTTATCCATATTTATCTATCCATCTCCCAAAAGCCAGCACAGGTGTTCCTCCACTGTTCATGGGCTTGCCTCTGTTACAGCGGATGCTGGGAGACTTTACGTGTGTTTTATCTTAAACATAAAGTAAGCGGATCCTGTGTGCTCAAGGCGTGCAACTGTTCTGACCTTTCAGCATCAATTCTTAATCTTGCACCAAAATCCTGCCTATTCATTGAATGCATTTGAAATATAGAGTTGGGTTCTGTTTCTTTTTTCGGTTCTTCGCAAATAAAAAGAGTTAGTGGCTTTTCATTTCTTTTTATTAATTAACCACTTGTAAACTGATGTGCACTCTTCTTCTTTTTTATAAATATAGGATTTGTATTAAATCTGTACACACAACAGCACACAACAACATATAACAACACATTCATTGAGTGGAATCGAAATTGAATTGACGTGTCTGAATCGATACACAGCCCTAATCCTGTGTTTATGGGCAGAATTCATGTTTCATACACCAAGGAAACGCAGTGTGTCCAGCTGTAAAAGATGTGTGTGTGTTCAGCAGGATCTGGACCCCGTGTTTGAGGAGGAGTCGAAGCCGATCTACTGCCAGGGCTGCCAGAGCATCTCCTTCTGCACCTTCACTCAGCTCTCGCTGCTGGTGGTGTGCTCCAAGTACTGGAGGGTAAGTCGAGCCAGCTTCATTTATACAGCGCTTTTACCTATACAGATGTTTTACACTTTGCAGTGACAACAGGGGCCGTTTCACAAAGACAGACTTCGACTACGGCTTAGATAAAGCAGACAGTCAGACTTCAGATAAAATCAGACCGTTGCACAAAATCTTAAGTAGAACTACACTGCAATGCATTCTGGGTAAAATACTACCCTTTTTTCAAAACAAAATACATGGCTGATCGAGTAAGCGCATTCAACCACTCAGTGCAGTTTACCCCAGCGGAAGATATGTGTGTGTTGGAGGAGTCTAACAATTACAAGGACATTTTACTGGGGAAATTTAGCAGAGAATGTAGAAACAAGAAGGAATGTTTCATTTGGACAAAGATTGCTATTGACAGTTAACAGCGTTGATCCGACCGTTGAGCGTAGCGTTAAAGACGTACAGAAGAAATACAAAAACATGGTACAAGATGCCAAAAAAGAAATATTTATCAGGAAATATCCAAAAACAAGAGGGTGTTGTTGAAACACACAACAACACACAATAAGAGCAACACATAACATGCCGATTGAATATATATGTGTGCAGGCGTGTCTTTCTCTACATTTGACCTTAACAAACTCGCTGTCTGGCCTTAAAAAAATTCATAATAGAGAATTTTTTGAGAACCGCAGTTATGAGCGCAGGGCTCCAGACTGCGACCAAATGGTCGCATTTTGCGACCTAAAATTGAGAGTGTGCGACTGAATTTTACATCCAGTTGCACATGTGCGACCAGTAAATTTGCCACACGTTAAACGCATGGTAAAGCGTGGAAGAGGCGCGTCAATGAATCCGTGACAACAAGAATAGCGCGCGTAAACGTTTGTGGGAAGGAGACGGAAACAAATATCACAAACTGATGTGCGTCTGAGCAATCAGCGATCTATCGACTCTTTAGTCGTCGTTACCTAGCAGCGAATGCAAACAAAATGAAAGTGGAACGAAAATACGCCACTCATGTATGATTAGGACCGTGGAGCTGCAGCAGCGATCCGAACCATTGACAAAATAAAGCCCCGAACTTGCCCGTCGCGGGCCGATCTCGCTCACGCAACACTGTTACTAGGAGAGCCAGTGAAGAAATCCATTGAATTCGCCTCAGAATTAATAACATCAACACAACGAGATCCAGTGAGAAACACTCCGATTCGGCGCAGAGTTCTGTTATAAACCATTTCAGATGAAACAGCGCTGATGTGGAAACCAGGAGAAACACTTATAGAAGGCTTTCAGTCCACAAATTAGCCCATGAATTTAGGCAAGTTAACTCTACCATAAATATGATAATGTGTAAGTAGCCTACTACACATCCTTTCCCAGCACTTCAATAATATCATATATAAATGTTTTATTTTTTTGTATTTTTTATGTGATTACCAACACATTTTTTGTTCATCCTTTAAAGATTGTCCTTAAACGAAAAATTTTAAGATGTTGGAAAACTCTTATTTAAACACTTAAAATAATAATAATAATACCATTGTAAACAGTAGGATGTTTATTGGCTATTTTCACTCCATATACATATTTTCACTACTTTTATTAATTAATATTATTAAGACATTATAAATGATAAAAACTTAAGTTAATTTCATCTACACCCTAAATTAAGCTTAGTGATTTATTGTTAGCCCCAGTGCTACCAGATTTTTTTTTTTTTTTTGTAGAACTCGCTGTGAGTTCTCATTTGAGGTGATGCTGCCCTCAACTTTGGGTCTGGAGCCCTGTGAAGTTAAAATAAAACAGCGTATCATAATGTTAAGTCTATTTATTATTAAAGAATTTGTCAGTATTATAGTTATTTTGTGAGAAATTTGAATAATTGCATTGCAAGCTTATTTAAGGTGTGCCCCTAAATTTTTTGCTTGCGCTCCTAAAATTTTCAGTCAGGGGCAACTGCGCTCCTAGTAAAAAAAGTTAGTCTGGAGCCCTGGAGCGCTGTGGGATTGTGAGTCTGAGCTCCACATGATTGTGTGTGTTGTGTTTGAGTTGGACTGTTGTGTGTTGTAGGTGTTTGATGCGGGGGATTTCTCCCTGCTGTGTTCGGTCCCGAGCGAGAACAATCAGTCGTGGGCCGGAGGAGAGTTCATCGCGGCTGATAAAGTCGTAATATGGACTGAAGATGGTTGCAGCTACATTTACAAGTTACCTGCCAGGTAACACAACAACACACAGCAACAAAAATTATCAACACATGCACACTTGCAAATAACCACACATGTCTATTTACTATCTGCGAACATATGACTTACACAAAACTACAAGTTACCTAACAGTAGTGATGCACCGATGTGAAAATTTGTGGCCAATACTGATAACCGATATTAATATTGCCGTTATGGCCGATACCCGATTTGGTTGACTTTAATAAATGGAACTTTATTGGAAAGTGTTTCTGATTTATGTCTCTTGAGTTCAGTGTTGGACAGATCAGTTGTTTTAATCATTTATTAAAGTGAGTCGGTTCAAAGGAGTCATTGGTTCGCGAATCAGACGTGTCATTAACGGACCACGGCACACTTTGTGTGATTATCCAGGCAGTTTAGGTCATCACACAAGATTTGTCTCAACACAAAAACATTTCTGTGATATGTCTCAACACAGAAAACAATGATTTTTTTTTTTTTTTTTGAAAAAGTGTGGTTTGTCATCTGAATGTGTGGAAAGCTTTTCAGAGAAGATAAGGCAACGTTGTTTTAGCAGAATTTACAACCAGCGGTAGTTCAGAAAAAAATACTTCGGTCTTCCGACCTTTTACCATTGTGTATTCTCAAAAATATGTAACGATGTTATAATCTGCGGCTGATATATCGTGCATCACTACCTAACAGCACACTTTCGAAACTAACAATAACCACACACTCACAGACTGTAAAACATCCAGCTATGACACACTTACCACCAGCTCAGAGCTCCAGCCCATTAAACTGTATCTGTGTTTGTGTCAGTTGTCTCCCGGCCAGCGAACACTTCCGCAGCAGCGTCGGGAAGAAGCCGGAAGGGTCCATCCCTCCTCTGGTGTACAGCATAGCCGACTGTGCCGACAAACAGGTCAGACACGCACACTCACGTACACACACACACACGTGTTCAAATGCATTGATGGAAACAGGATATGCCGTGGAATAAATGTATGCCAGACTTCACTTTAGCAATTACAAATTGATTGGATTTGTGCAAAGTGGGCACGTGCAAACCAGTCCGAGAGGTTCAAAACTACAAGACATTTTTATAAAAGTTTATTTCAGTCTAATAACATCACAACAAGCCGGAACCAGAAACAGGAATTAAGAAAGTCAGATTTCATGCGACTAATTCTCAGCCAATCATTGACTTTTAGTTCAGTGTCTTTATAAACAAGCTTTTAAAGGGTACTTCATGTGTTGAATTCATCTTCAGTTTGTGTTCTGTCAATGTTAGTCTGTTCCTGTGTGTGTTTATGTGTCACCAGTGCAGTAGTTTGTGTCTGTGTTTGATTTGTTTATGATTTTACTCTCTGTCTGTTGTCGCCCCCGTCCCTTGTCCCAGCCGGAGGAGGGGTGGGAGGGGCCGTGTGTTGTGGTGCGTCTCCCTGACAACGCTCCCGATCCCGAACTCTACTCTCCTGAAATGCAATTCCTCCAGCGGCCTCTAGAGGCACCAGTAAGCCCATCCCACGCGGGACGAAGGCGCGCACGCCAACAGCTCTACACGCATGTTTATATATGCGCCAGGCATCCAGTCACAGAATACTGCAAGATTTCATTTTGATAGTGACTATTAAATTGTAAATAGGGGTGCACAATATTGGGGAACAAATGTGGGAAAAAATACGTTTTATTGCGCTTGAATCGCTCGGTTTGAGAAAGAATAAATCGTTCTGGAATGATTGGGGTGATTTTTTTTTTTTTTTTTTGGAAGTACATTTGCAAATAATTTAAAAAATAAAAATAAAATTATGTTGAATAATTAATATTTTAATACATTTTATTAATTAATACTTAAATAATATTTAAGTTACATAAATATAATAATAAGCTTTAAAAATTATATATATACTGTATATATATATATATATATATATATATATATTATATATTATATTATACTTCATTTTATTATGTTTTATTTATATATTTATTTGGGTTGTCAAACAGATTAATCCCATCAAATATAAAAGTTCACCAGCACATATAGTATATGTACACACTTGTATTGCATTTGTGTGTGTGTGAGTATATTTATACACATACGCACATACTCTCTATATAAATGTAATAATATATAAACACATATATTATATAAACGAACAACACTATTTATTTATTTATTTTATTACTATATATTATTATTAAAAATATTAAAAAGGGAATATATTGTAATAATACTATTGTTTTTGTTAAAAATTAGTAATACAATGTTATTTTACTATAAAATTACATATACGTACATCTTAATTTCTCCATTTTCAAATGGTATATCATCAAACTTTTATTTTCACAGGCAAATAAATAAATAAATAAATAATTGTGCTGCCGCTTTCAGAGTTCAGTTGTTCATTCACACGCAAACAAACATTGGGATTCACAGGATTGACCAGGCTCTGAAACACTATCATGACCATGAGCTGCACGTGTGTAAATGACGTGCTTCGCTCTGAAACCAATAGCACTGATACCTCATTAACTTGATTAAATCGCTTGACAATCACACTGAGCCATATTTGAGATATCGATTGAATTTGTATATATTGTGCATCCCTAAAAAAAATCCACACAGGATTTGCATCAGTGAATATGATTGGATGTCCTGAGAGCTTCTTGTGGCGTCCCCGCCTCCGTTTTGCTGTCACTCACTCTGATTCGCTAAGTCTCATGCTCCTCCTCCCACTAAAAACGACCAATCATTGACTCTCCCCTCATCCGTCTTCACGCGGTGAAGGTGCATGCAAAGCCCAGAGCTCCTTTACAGGCGCTTCTGCTTTTGCGCTTGTGTCCTCGTCTGTTTTTGACAGACGCTTTCAGTTAAACAGTTCATGTCGTTATTTTAGTCCTTTTAGGATCTAAAACGTAGTGTTTACAACTAAGTGTGTCGTTGACTAGTGGCTCTTCTGTTTCTTCAGATGATCTGTTTGTGTGTTTCTTTAAGTTTAGGATGTTTAAAAAACAAACAAACAAACAAAAAAACAATTATATTATTTATTTTAGACATAAATATAAGTACATGAAAATTAAATAAAATATTATATGTAATAAAATGAAATTATATATATATATATATATATGTATATAATGATACCCTAAGTGTGTCATTCTCTAGTCACTCTTCTTTTGTTTTTGTGTGTATCCTTTGATTTGAAGTGTGCTGGTGTGTTTTTAGCATGTTTTAATGTGGGGTTAATAATAAAATAAATAAAATTTGAATATATATAATTTGTTTTATATATAAATTTTATGTTTACATATAAATCAATTAAAATTAAATAAATAAAATGTGAAAACGATATTTAAGTATATTTATAAATTTTAGTTTTTATATGAAATATGATTTTTACATATGCATGGAAAAATTTTAATTTGTATAATGTTTTATATTTTTAAATTGTATATATATATATATATATATATATATATTAATTTAAAGAATTAAAAAAAAATCTATACATATAGATAAATATGAATATGTATTGATTTTTTTTAAACATTTTAAATAAAAAAAATGATATAAATTGATCCAAAACGTAATATTATTAGTGGTGTATGACCATAAGCGTGATGTTCTCTAATCACTCTTCTGTTTTTTCAGCTGATATTTTCATGTGTCTTTTGGTTTAAAGTATGCAGTGTGTGTTTGTTTGTAGCATGTTGTATTGTAATGTGTGTGTGTGTGATTGGACCTGTGCACATACACTAGTGTTTATTAAGGAAAGCTCATCGGTGGCATTTGCACTGTTCTCAAAATAGGATGCTTTGAGAATTCAGAGGACAAACATCAATAGTTTGTGCATCTGTTTTATACATTTAGCCATTTAACATGGCCTTTTCAACATCACCCCATCCCTCTTCACACACTTGACATGGTGAAATATGAAGAGGAATCGTTCATTAAAACATCACTCTCACCATCATAATTTATAAGACAGATTATGAAGATAAACCTTTCTTTTGAAAACCATGCGCACAATAAGACCAAGAACATGTTTGTTTATGTAATTTGATATGATCATATTTGAGGGACCCCCATCCGAAAGCTAAATATTTTCATGTATAAATACATGCCTGATATTATTTGAAAATATTTAATTTCTGTTAATTTGCACGATTACATTTCTACCCGCTATTGGACTGTAATGTTAAGTGTGTTATTTATTTATTTTTGTATTTTCATTAAAGTGTTATAATTTATTTGGTATGATAAGGTTCCGTTCGATAACATTAGTCAACTGCTTAAGTTAACCTGAACTAACAATAAAAAATAATTCTATAGCATTTATTAATCTTAATTTACTAATTATTAAAATCTAAATCTATTAAAATTATTTAATGGATATATATATATATATATATATAATTCTACTTTTTATTATGTTTTAATCTATTTATTTGAATCAAATATTTATTATATATTTGTTTTAATCTACTTTTTATTGTTTTAATCTATTCGTTTTAATCATATGTTGTGCATGTATTTAATTTAATCTAACTTTTATTGTGTTAATCAATATATTTTAATCAAATATTAATGACGCCGTTTTAATCAGATAGTTATTATGTGTATATTTATTTTAACTGAATTATAATTGTGTTTTAATCAATTCTAATCTACTTTTATTAGGGGCCAAGCACCGAAGGTGCGGAGGCACCTATTGTATCTGTGCCGGTTCTTATTATTATTAGGGGCCAAGCACCGAAGGTGCGGAGGCACCTATTGTATCTGTGCCGGTTCTTATTATTATTATTATTAGGGGCCAAGCACCGAAGGTGCGGAGGCACCTATTGTATCCGTGCTGGTTCTTATTAGGGGCCAAGCACCGAAGGTGCGGAGGCACCTATTGTATCTGTGCCGGTTCCTATTATTAGGGGCCAAGCACCGAAGGTGCGGAGGCACCTATTGTATCTGTGCCGGTTCCTATTATTATTATTATTCTTCTTCCGACTGGGCGTCTATGGCAGCCCATAGACCGGTTTGCGGGAAAGTTGTTTTGGTTTGACATTCTGATAGAGGACAGTCCCAACATTAAATACACCAATTTTGGTGTCTCTAACTCATTCCCTCTAGCGCCACCAACTGTCCAAAGTTTCACTTTTATTATGCTAATAACTTTTGAACCGTAAGGCCTATCAACAAAATTCTTTTTTCTTCTTGTTCCTGAGCTCATGCCGATTCGATCGCACCCTATGACGTCATTTTCCGTCATAAAAAATTGGCCGCCATTTTGAATTTTCCAAAAAACCTACTTTTGCGAACTCGTCCTAGACCGTTTGTCCGATTTTCACCAAAATAGCACCGGATAATCTCCAGGCAGTGCTGACAAAAAGTTATGGAAATCAAGATGATTCGCTTAACGGTTTTTGATAAACGCACAAACTAATTTTACGTAACGCTTGCGAAAACAGACGTAAGGCTGTATCTCCGCAATGCTTCATCCTATTCAGACCAAACTTGGTACATGTAATCACAAGCATGACTTGAGGCTACATGCAGCGTTTCGGCGCAGCGCCACCTAGTGGTCCGGAGATATGAAAAATGGCTATTTTTGCTCATAACTTCTGAACGGTTTCTCCAAAAATCAAAAACTTGGTCTCGTTAGATTCAGGGCGTCATGCCGAGTCGACCGATATCCAATTTTCCCAGATCGGCCATTTTGGCTGTCGGCCATTTTGAATTATGTGCTAAAATGCTGTATTTTTTGAACGCATGAACGAATTGTTACGAAACTCGGTATGGGTCATCAGTACGATGCCCTGAAGGAGCCTGAGAAGTTTCGAAACAGCGCCACCTAGTGGTGAATTTTTTTTTTCAAATGCTTATAACTTTGGGTGTGGTACACTTATTTTCACGGGAGTCATATTTTTGAGGTCCTGAATCGTTGCCGAGTCCAACGATATCAAAATATGTCGGGTTTCGTCTCACGGTGGCGTAGCGTAGCGATTTAGCGCGAAAAAAACACTTGCCGATATCTTCAAAACCGCTGTTCCGATCGAGACGAAACCACCGTCAGAAACACGGAATCATAGCTTGTTAACTATACGCTAATGCCCAAATGCGAAAATATTGATAGTAAGGGGTAGTAAAATTCAAACAAAGTCATGTGTCAGTCATTTTTTACGTGTTTTTCATATAAATGTTTATAACTCGGAAGTAAATTGAGATATTTTCACCAAAATTGACACACATATGTATGGGGTCACTCTGAGGACACATAAAAAAAATTGTGGGACTGAGCCTCTTGGTGGCGCTATAATAGAACAAAACGTGAAATTCCCATTGACTTCAATACAGTTTTGTGAAATACAATGCTATACTAAACAAATGCTTTGGTCTAACATTACGAAACTCAGTGTGTGCCATAAGCAGCATGCCCTGAAGGTACTCAAAAGATTTTGAGACAGCGCCACCTGTTGGTCAAAAGTTATAATTAATTTCTGAGAACGCTAATAACTTTTGAATAAATTTGCCTATTGCAATGAAACTGATCTTAATAGATTCCTTGGGTTATGCCGAAAACATAGATATCAGGTTTTGCATAATCAGCCAAACTTCCTGTCCGCCATCTTTATTTCTTTGAAAAACCTTCTTTTTCGAACTCCTCCTAGACCGTTTGTCCGATTTTCACGAAAATTGAATCGTATCATCTCCAGACCGTGCCGACTAAAAGTTATGAATTGCACGATGATAGACAAAACCGTTTTCGTATACCACAGCATCAAAGTTTAGGCATGCTGCCAAAATTACTATTTAGGCTTTATCTCTGCAATGCCTTCACATTTTGACACCAAACTTTGCATGTGTCATTGTCACCTCACTCTGACCACATCACATCTATTTCGTAACTGCGCCACCTATTGTTCGAAAGTGATAACCCATTAAATCATCTTATAAGTTAATGTTTATGTGATTTTCTTAGCCATTTGCCCAAAGTTCTCTCAAAATGCCCTTAATTGCTCCTTGCTGCAGTTGGTCTGCCACTCCTTGCCATTTTGGCATATGTTGCCCGCTTCTTGCGCTTGGCCCCGGTAATGGCTGCTTGCAGCTATATTTATTATTATTCTTCTTCCGACTGGGCGTCTATGGCAGCCCATAGACCGGTTTGCGGGAAAGTTGTTTTGGTTTGACATTCTGATAGAGGACAGTCCCAACTTTAAATACACCAATTTTGGTGTCTCTAACTCATTCCCTCTAGCGCCACCAACTGTCCAAGAGTTTCACTTTTATTATGCTAATAACTTTTGAACCGTAAGGCCTATCAACAAAATTCTTTTTTCCTCTTGTTCCTGAGCTCATGCCGATTCGATCGCACCCTATGACGTCATTTTCCGTCATAAAAAAAACGGCCGCCATTTTGAATTTTCAAAAAAACCTACTTTTGCGAACTCGTCCTAGACGGTTTGTCCGATTTTCACCAAATCGCACCGGATCATCTCCAGGCAGTGCTGACAAAAAGTTATGGAATTCAAGATGATTCGAATAACCGTTTTCGATAAAACGCGTACAAAATTTACGTAGCGCTTGCGAAAACAGACGTGAGGTTGTATCTCCGCAACGCTTACTCGTTTTCACACCAAACTTGGTACGTGTTATCACAAGCATGACCTGAGGCTACGTGCTGCGTTTCGGCGCAGCGCCACCTAGTGGTCCGGAGATATGAAAAATGGCTATTTTTGCTCGTAACTTCTGAACGGTTTGTCCAAAAATCATAATTTGGTCTCGTTAGATTCAGGGCGTCATGCCGAGTCGACGATATGCAATTTTCCCAGAACGGCCATTTTGGCTCGGCCATTTTGAATTATGTGCTAAATGCTGTATTTTTTGAACGCATTGAACGAATTGTTACGAAACTCGGTATGGGTCATCAGTACGATGCCTGAAGGAGCCTGAGAAGTTTCGAAACAGCGCCACCTAGTGGTGAATTTTTTTATTCAAAACGCTTATAACTTTGGGTGTGGTACACTTATTTTCACGGGAGTCATCTTTTTGAGTTCCTGAATCGTTGCCGAGTCCAACGATACTAAACATGCTGGGTTTCGTGTTACGGTTGGTGTAGCGTAGCGATTTAGCGCGAAAAAACACTTGGCGATATCTTCAAAACCGCTGTTCCGATCGAGACGAAACCCACCGCCAAAAACACGGAATCATAGCTTGTTAACTAAACGCTAATGCCCAAATGCGAAAATATTGATAGTAAGGGGTAGTAAAATTCAAACAAAGTCATGTGTCAGTCATTTTTTACGTGTTTTTTCATATAAATGTTTATAACTCGGAAGTGAAGTTGAGATATTTGCACCAAAATTGACACACATATGTATGGGGTCACTCTGAGGACAACATAAAAAAATTGTGGGACTGGCCTCTTGGTGGCGCTATAATAGAACAAAACGTGAAATTTCCCATTGACTTCAATAGAGTTTTGTGAAATAAAATGCTTATACTAAACAAATGCATTGGTGTAATATTACAAAAACTCAGTGTGTGCCATAAGCAGCATGCCCTGAAGGTACTCAAAAGATTTTGAGACAGCGCCACCTGTTGGTCAAAAGTTATAATTAATTTCTGAGAACGCTAATAACTTTTGAATAAATTTGCCTATTGCAATGAAACTGATCTTAAATAGATTCCTTGGGTTTATGCCGAAAACAATAGATATCAGGTTTTCCATAATCAGACAAACTTCTGTTCGCCATCTTTATTTCTTTGAAAAACCTTCTTTTTCGAACTCCTCCTAGACCGTTTGTCCGATTTTCACGAAAATTGAATCGTATCATCTCCAGACCGTGCCGAATAAAAGTTATGATTGCACGAATATAGACAAAACCGTTTCGTATATACCACAAGCATCAAATTTGAGGCATGCTGCCAAAATGACTATTTAGGCTTTATCTCTGCAATGCCTTCACATTTGACACCAAACTTTGCATGTGTCATTGTCACCTCACTCTGACCACATCACATCTATTCGTAACTGCGCCACCTATTGTTCGAAAAGTGATAACCCATTAAATCATCTTATAAGTTAATGTTTATGTGATTTTCTTAGCCATTTGCCCAAAGTTCTCTCAAAATGCCCTT